TAAACCCTCAACCCACTGTTGCTACAGGAGCAGCACATGCTGCAAAACAGCAAACCAGCAAAGGAGGCCGGCTTGAACCTTTGATCGCCTCAGCTTAATATCCAAGGGTAACAGGAGCGACCCTTAATAAGGACCCCTAGGTATATACCCTCAAAATAGCTATTATATACCCATTATATAGCCCCACTATAGGGTAGGGGTCCCCATGAAGGGTCCCTCCTTTTCCCCTTTGATAATAGAAGCACACCCCTGTAAGCTACCATAAGTCGCACATGATTCCCACCCACACGCCAAACCCACCAAAACCCCAAACCCTAAACCACTAAACCCTAAACCCCTAAACCCTAAACCCCTAAACCCTAAACCCTAAACCCCTAAACCAAGCTCACCCACAAACCTGAAAACAAAAACCATGACCCCAATGTCGGACACCTCGGGCCTGGGAAGCTCCAGAGTACGGTGTAGGGTTTAGGGGTTAGGGGTTTAGTTTTTTGTTTTTGTTTTGGGGGGGTGGGTTTAGGGTTCATCGTTTAGGGGTTTAGGCTTTAGGGTTTGTAGGTTTAGGTTTTGCAGGGTTCAGGGTTGGCATTTGGGAGTATATTGGGAATATATATATATATATATATAGGGGTTATAGCACCCCAAAAGGGGTTAAAGGTTACCTGCTCTCCTGCTAGACCAACGTATCTCGTAGTGCAGCGCAAGGACAGGGCATCTGGCCAATTGGACAGCGAAAGCTCGGCCATGGCGAAGGAAAGCCATGGGTTTAGGGTTTGCAAAGCTTGGGGTTCTGGGGTTTAGGGTTTAGGGTGCTCGGGTTTAAGGCTTAGGGGCATTAGGGTTTAGGTTCATAAAGGTTATATAGGTGTGAGTAAGGTTTAGGGCTTTGAGGGTCGTCATGGAGTCTAGAGCTTAGCTGGTTCAGCTTGGCCCGAAGCTTCAGGCAGCAATCACGGTGTCCAGCAGCTGCGGTTTGCGATTGCTATGATTCTTGTTGTTGCTGCGGCTCGTAGTGAGATCTAGTTGTGGTGTCGCCCTCGTCTGAGTAGACTGGAGGAGTTGCCTGTCCAACGAACCCGCTACCAAGGTGCCTGCTATGGTCGAAGCTAGCAGCAGCCAGCAGGCTGCTGTCCAGCCGTACGTAATTAAGGCCAGCTACAACGTCAGTTTTAGTTTTGGGTGGGCCACGTAGAGTGATGGCTTCGCTGTTTCGGGCAGCCGCTTCATTTGGTACTGGCATTAGATCTTGAACTCATGTGAGGGGGCCCCCTTCCCTGCAATGCGTAGAAAGGGATTTGGCGCAAAATAAAATAGGGGCCTTAGTAATTCTAGTGAACAGGCAGTACGTACTCAATACTCCAACACCTACCCTACGGGTCCATGTACCCCAGGAGTATGTATTCTGCATGGACCCTCAGCGCAAGGACCTCGACAACCTCAAACCCTAAACCCCTAAACCCTAAACCCCTAAACCCTTATCCCTATACCCTAAACCCTAAACCCCTAAACCCCAAAAGAAAGGGTGAAGGAGAGACTGGGCTGGAGACATGAATCTAAACAGGGAGCCGAAGAATTGAATCGGGTTTGGGGTGGTGTATTACAGTAATCTCGTTTGCATTACATTACTTATTATAGCCGTCTTAAAGATTAGAACCGGGTTTGGGCGACATATTCTGGTAGGGCCAACACTAAGAGATGATGTTGTCTACATTACAGCTTAAGCCTGAAGCTGTAACGCAGACAACATTATCTCTTGGTGTTCCTTATTCCGGCACTACCATAATATGTCTAAGGCTTAAGGGCACTGTTGTTGGGATGTCTTCAGCGGGCTGGCGCGCAAGGATCTGTAGCTCAAGGGTTTCGGGGTTTCAGCGCCCAGAAGGTTTTCAGGTCCGAATTCTGCAGATGCAGTGCTGAAGGATGTAGGATGTTTTCGCATGAAGGCAATTCTGGGGCTCGGAAACCAGACTCAGAAACATCGCAACACGTAAGCATACGAAAACACTTTACATGCGTACTCGTGTGTGTATAACGCGAAATAGTATGATAAAGCATCATAATATGTAGCATAGTGAGGGATATATATATATATATACACATATTAAGACATATGTATATGTATATGTATATGTATATGTATGTATATATATATATATATGTATATATATATATATATATATATATATATTGAGCTAATATATACATATAAATAAATAAATAAATAAATATATATATATATATATATATATGCAGCATAACACAGCATGGCGCAACGTGTAAACGACACACATCGAAATACAAAACGAAGCTCTGCCCACTGGATCTAAGTATTCTGAACTTTATTGAGAATCACCTTGAGCCAGGCGAAGAGCCCATAAATCACTCACCAGAAGAGATTTACCGGAAAGCCCGGACGAGGGTGTTTTCTTTTGCGCATTCCTTGCCAAACTGACCCAAAGCCAGCTCTTCTCCGTCGCCATGGACTCCGTTGAGCAACTACCGCTGCTCGGCTCACGCAGAAGCTCTTGCGAGCAGACCTTCATTTGGGTGGTTGTCAAAACTTAGGGTCCCTTTTTGGGTACCTATTATAGTACGGCACCTTTTTTTTTGGTACCCAAAAAAATCGACCCTAATTTTGCTGGAGGAGACCTCGAGGCGAAGATGACTCAAGACTCTGTAGCCGCTAGCAGCTTTTTGCGGGCAACCTGAACTGCGGAGCATCGATTGTGCCTAAACTCTAAAGCCCAAACACCGAACCCTAAAGCCCAAACCCTGAACCCTAAAGCCCAAACCCTGAACCCTAAAGCCCAAACCCTGAACCCTAAAGCCCAAACCCTGAACCCTAAAGCCCAAACCCCGAACCCTAAAGCCCAAACCCTGAACCCTAAAGCCCAAACCCTGAACCCTAAAGCCCTAACCCTGAACCCTAAAGCCCAAACCCTGAACCCTAAAGCCCAAACCCTGAACCCTAAAGCCCAAACCCTGAACCCTAAAGCCCAAACCCCGAACCCTAAAGCCCAAACTCTGAACCCTAAAGCCCAAACCCTGAACCCTAAAGCCCAAACCCCGAACCCTAAAGCCCAAACCCTGAACCCTAAAGCCCAAACCCTGAACCCTAAAGCCCAAACCCTGAACCCTAATGCCCAAACCCTGAACCCTAAAGCCCAAACCCTGAACCCTAAAGCCCAAACCCTGAACCCTAAAGCCCAAACCCCGAACCCTAAAGCCCAAACCCTGAACCCTAAAGCCCAAACCCTGAACCCTAAAGCCCAAACCCTGAACCCTAATGCCCAAACCCTGAACCCTAAAGCCCAAACCCCGAACCCTAAAGCCCAAACCCTGAACCCTAAAGCCCAAACCCTGAACCCTAAAGCCCAAACTCTCTCTACAACGACTCTGCTTGCGAGCTGCGAGTGGAGTTCAAGACGAACGGACTCCCCGAGCCACTTCAGCCAAAGGTTCCGAAGTTTAGGGTTTTAGGGTTTTAGGGTTTAGGGTTTAGGGTTTGAATATGGGGCTGGATCATAAGAACAGGGTCTTGGTGGGGTACATTCTACATTAATTAAAATATGTAGGGACTTTACAAGGGGATACCACGATGATTCAGGCACGGACACAGATAGAGGAAGCTGATGGTGTAGATCATCGAAGGCACGCGAGGAATCAGCATCTTTATCACACAAAACTGCTAAGATGGTATAGAGCCAGTGTGGACGAAGAGAAGATGATCATGATGATGATGATGATGAAGAGGAGGAGGAGGGAACGGTGCCGATAAGTGCACTGTAGGCAGGGAGAAGCTGATGATGTCGCTGGTGATGTGGATGTGGTTTCTCTGATTCAGGGTTTTGGGGTTTTGGGTTTGTCTGCCATGGCAACTTGATCGTGCAGCCTGCATCGCATGAGCCTTTTTAGAACAATTCTTGCATACTCATTCATCTGCATGGACGCTGCGAGAGGAAAAAGCTACCGGTGGCTGAGCGCGAAGTCAGACTCCACCTCTCCCATGAGTTACGCAGGAGCTAGCACTTCTGCGAAAGAGGCACACCCTGAGCCAGCAGACTAGGAAGGTTGGGGCTTAGGGCTTGGGGTGTAGGTAGGAATTGTAGGGTTGAAGGGTTGAGATTTTCGATTCTGGACTTGTCATGTTGACAGCAAGGGGGTGCCAGCGTTTTGTACACTGAAACTATGGCAACTCTAGCTCTAGCCAAAAACTCTCGGTCGGGGCTCAAACGTGGATGTTCTGCATAGTTTTCCAAGCTGTCATGTCAATCCGCTTCATGATGTTCTTAAACTGCTGGTGGGGTCCACATTCATAGAAGTCATCGATGCCGTCCTTAATCATTTCCTGCATGCAGGGCATCCACTCCACGCAGTTCGTGAGCTGGTCTGCCAGCAGCTCAACCTTATGCTTGTCGAGCTCCCGCAAAAACTGACTTGGGATCCAGAGCTATTGTAATTACTAATTATTGGGGCCTGAATAGTTAGAATAGGTTTTTGGGGGTACATATGATACCATCATAACAATAAGGAGCCCCAAAGCAGTGTAAGTAATTGTTTGGGCCCCTATATTACGTGCATTGTTCTAAACCTGATAGATGCCAAGCTTTAGACCTTCATGACCTGGCACACTTCAGGGCACAACCACCTTCAGCCGCAGCCCATAGCCCGAGATCCCAAAACAAATCCAATACCCCACGATCTAAACCCTTGAAGAACCATCACAAATAATCTTTTTCAAAACCCCATCAACCAACTCAAGACTAAACCAAGGTCTTAATCATGAAAATCTAAACTGCAAAGAAATGTATACTGCGGAACTCTCCGGAAGAATATTGGGGCAGTTCTTTGGGCTTCTGACCCTAAATCCACCAAGCTCTAAAAACCCTAAACCGTCGGCTTCTGTACTGAAGCAAGAAACGATTTTCGGGACGGGAGTGCCGGCCGGCATCTTCGATCCCGCGAGGTTCATGTAGACGTCGCACGTAGGGGGTTTCATCTTAGGCTCGACCTGCTCTTCTTCTTTGAGTCAGTGCAAGGCTCACGGTTTATGGGCTCTGCCTGCTGCTCTGGTCTTAACATAGGAACCCGTAAGAATTAGAATAGGGCTGAAGGGAAACTGTAGTAAAACTTCGACAGTGAACACTAAGGTTTGAATTCACTGTTGCTTCGTACCTTAGGGTTTAGGGGTTGTCGGGCTTGGGGCGTGAGGATGAAACAGTCTGTGTTTTTCGATTCGCAGCTACTATACTGAACTTAGAACCCTAGCAAAAATTATAATTTTAGCTGTTTCTTAGGGATTGTAATAACCAAAAATTAAAGTTATTTCTAAGTACCCCTAAGGCTATAGGTACCTCTGAACGAAACCGAGCTGATGATCTCTAATCTAAACCCTAAGCCACCCAAACCTTAAGATAGAAGCCTGAAGGATTTCCAACATTGCTCCCGCTGGTTCCCTACTATGCTTAGACTAGAGCATACCACCCAAAACCCATTGAAATTATTGAGGCGCTCACCTAAACAGAGTTTGCTTACCAACCCCCCTAACCCGAAACCATGTCGACCTCTTTCAAAGCTGCTAAGAGCGTGTGGCGAGCGGGCATCATGCAACTTGGTGTGAAATGCCCAAGGGGTATACAGCAACCTTGCCTGCAGGGGTTTCGCAATGGTTCAGGGCGCAGGAGTCCAAGCTTTAGGGGTTTAGGGTTGAGAGGATTCGGCTTCAGGGTTTTAGGGCTCAGGGTCTCTCTGTGTTCACAGCAACCATGCTCTGCTGTGGTAATACTGTAAGTCTTCGGACGATCATCCTGTGTTCTTTTCCATGCCTAACCTACTGCTTCCACAGACCTAGGAGGCCCTCAGTGCTAAACCGTTGCGATTGAACCAGTTTCGCTTGGGAGCCTGCAGACAACCATCTGTCTTGCTGGCTTTCTCCAACAGCTTCTCCATGGCAGCCTTGCTTCCGGCACAGCAGAAACCGGTGGGAAAGAGGATGTTGGCAATCTGGCACACCTCATCGCCTGATCTGCACTCGGCACACAGGCCCTCCACTACCTCCTTCTTGAGTCCGGCAAAAGTGACCATCTCCTGTGGGTAGGCCTCCGCGGCCTCCTGCATTGCCTCTCCCCTCAGCTTCACCAGCCGAAGGCCTGTCGGCACATTTTTGGAAGGCACTTCTTCTATCCAAAAGCTAGGCTTAGTGTTTTGGGGCTTAGAGGTCATGGTCTACCGGATTATGGCTATGGCTTTCCGAGTCTTTGGGTCGGCGTTTCAAAAAAGGGCCTGTCTCCAAGTCGAAGACCCCGGCTACAGTCAGCGCCGTGTACTCTCCAAGGGACAACCCAGCGACTGCGCGTGGCTTCTCGACAGCTTCCGGATTCTCTTTCCGAAGCAACTCAACGCCGGCAAGGCCCGCAACATACATAGCCTCAAAAGCTCGGCTTAAAGCTTGTCGGGTTCAGCTTGGGGCCCGAAGTTCGGGTTTGAGTTGAGGGTTCGCGTAGTTGAGGGTTCGGGTCCCATTTATACAATACCACACTATCATGGTGCAATCGAGACCTGTGTAGCATCCGTCCGTTTATCTGTTCGTGGTTCTACCCATCCATCTATCTACCAGTGTGACGACCCCATAACCATCTCTCCATCAGTCTCTACTTAAGTGGAAACGACTGACTCAACAAACACAAAGAAGAATGCATGCACATCTGCCGTTACACATCCCAGTAAACCTACAGCCATCAGAATGTATTTCGCTTATCATTTCGATCAAGCATAGTCCAACCTTCAGTCTCACTACATCAAACTTAGACAAACATATTCTACCGAAGCCGCAAATAACCCAGCTCAGGGGCCTTGAAGTAGATAGACAAGAATGAGAGCATGCAGTTATTCCGACCCCTAGCTTAAAGAGTCCAGCTGCTGGTTGGCAGAACTTCGTTTGCTCCAGCTGGTCCGCTGGACCCTCCAGGCAAAGCTTCAGAAACCCTAAACCCTAAACCCTGAACCCTAAACCCTAAACCCTAAACCCTGTAGCCGAGGATCTTCTGGGCTGTTGAAAGCAAGTCCCTGACGGCCGGCATGTCCTCAGTTCCATAGGGTCATCCAGATTTGATTAGGGACCTTAGAAAGACTCTATACTCTATACCATGTCTTCGGCCTGGTATGTGAGATTTACAAGACAAGCGAAGCTTACAATCGGACGGCTTCAGCGTCTTTCACATCCGACATCATCGTCACATACTGCGAGCCCTGCCCAGGGACGAGGAGGGCTGCCGTTGAGGATCCGGAAGAGGGCGCCGAAGGCTCGGGAGGGGAAGCGTGGTTCGCAGTCGCAGTCGTCTCTGTGATGGCCATCTTTCCCACTTGCTTGGCAGCCGGGAGCGGTTCGAAGGCCTCTGTCGTGAAGGTTGGTTTCGGCTTGCACTCCTCGGAGGCTGAGGTCGGGCTGTTCTTCTGAAGCTTGAGTTCCTTCTGCGACGGTGTGGCTGCAGACTGGCTTCCTTGGGCGGCATCCTGGGTCATCTTCGTGAGGCGCTCGACGTGCTTGGGATCCTCGGAGGCTGAAGTCGGGCTGTTTTGCTGGGTCATGTTCACGAGCAGCTCGACAAGTCCAGCAATGTCAATCCTCAAGTCCAGATTCATGGTCACACCAAGCACGGGTCGCCCTGTCAGCGGATCCAGTTCCGTCTTTGACGTGGGAGGGGTGCCGACCGCCAAATCTACCAGCAAAGACCCTACTGCCATTCTGACTGCGTGCACCTCGGACTGACGAACTCTCGAGCCCAGGCGCGACTGTGATTTTGCATTTTCTGCAGAAGCTAAGTAATGAAATATTTAATTCGTGAAAACTGTTAATGATGTTAATTAGCTAATTAATGAACTATAGGGAATCAAGGATTTAGGGTTGGGGTTTTGGGTTTGTGGCTTGGGGTTTCATCAAGGTTTGGGGATTGAAGGGGTAGGGGTTGGGGGTTCAGGTTTCGGGCAACCATATAAACATACAAAAACCGTGCAACCTTAACACAACTCTGTATGTCAACATGACGCCCTCAGTTAGCCCAGTCATCTCCGGCCTCTTTTGCAAAGCCTAGGTGCTGCAGCACGCACAAATGCCTGAAGCTTCGGTTCTTCTGGATGGGATCGGGAATTTTGGGATTGCAGGCTGCATGCCAAAAGCGATGGTGCATCTCGGGATCTGTTTAGGATCCCTAGCACCGGAACGCTCACTGAAATGCTCGCATCGTATAGTTAAAGTACATTGAGGTAGTTGAGTGTGAGGTGTGGTGAATCTTCAGTCTCATCTTTCCACAAGAGTCCAACGGACCCCATAATTGGGTACTCGGTTTGAGGATCGTAGTTATGCAGGGTAGGGTTTTGGAGAGTATATGGGAGTTTCCGAAAATCGGGGACCCTAATATAGCCCCCTGAATATTAGGATCCTTATTGTAAGGACACCAAAATAAGGTACCCCTAATTTTCGGCACTCCCTAAAGCCTAAACCTTCTATAGAACCCTTATAGATCCCTTTAAGGAACCCTTATAGAATATGATTGTTGGGTACTTGGAACCTCGGGGAATCCGCCTTGATGGAAGCCTAAACACTGCTGACCAGTGGTTTTGGGGTTCCCTTGGCTCTTGAGCTCCCTATTAGGGTTTAGGGTTTAGGGTTAAGGGTTTAGGGTTTAGGGTTTAGGGTTTAGGGATTATCATCATCGCTGGCTCCTTGGCTCCTCCAATATCAATGGTTAGACTGAACGCACTGTTGGTACAGGAGCAGCACATGCTGCGAATCAGAGGAGACCAGCCTGAACGGGTTAGAAAAAACACGAGTCGCCTCACGTTAGTAGAAGCAAATTCCCGATAAGCCCATGATTCTAACCTGAAAAAAGTTCTGAAATAAACAACCTTGACAACCACAAACATGTCGAACATCTGGGTCTTAGGAAGCTCCAGAGTATCTCGCAGGTTTAGGTTTTACAGGGTTCAGGGGTGGCACTTGGGAGTATATTGTGAACCTGTAGGGATTTTAGCACCCCAAAAGGGTTAAAGGTTACCTACTCTACTGCCAAGACCAATGTATCTCGTAGTGGAGCGCAACTGTTGATGATATAAATCCTGCATTACCTTAAGGACCCTAGGCTATGGGAATAATGGTATATTCCTCACCAGGGGTAATCCAGGATTTATATCATCAACCGAAGGACAGGGCATCTGGCCGAATTGGACAGCGGAAGCTGGGCCATGGCGAAGGAACGCCATGGGCTTAGGTTTGCGAAGCTTAGGGTTCTGGGGTTTAGGGTGCTCGGGTTTAGGGCTCAGAGGCTTAGTGGTGTTAGGGCTCAAGTTCATAAAGGTTAGGTGTGAGTGGGGTTTAGGTATTGAGGGTACTCATGGAGGCTGGGGCTCAGGTGACGCACTTTAGAGTCTGGGGCATACATAGCCCGAAGGTTCAGTCAGCAATCCTAGCATGGAGAGACTGTTGTGTATGGTTGTTATGATTATTGTTGTTGCAATGGCTTGTATCAATGCCTACTAGCAGTACTGGCAGCAGTAGTTTCAAATTGCGGTGTCGCCGTCTGCTGAGTGGGGTCGGAGGAGTGATCCGTCCAACAAACGACAGCAAGGTGCTTGCCATGGTCGAAGCTTGCAGCGCTGTCGAGCCATAATTAATTGAGGCAAAAGCCAGAAAGTTGGAATATGATTATCCTAACCCTTCTATGGTAAATTATAGGGTATCCTACCATGAAACCATATTTCAACTTTCTGGAGTTCCCTTTAATTAATTAAGGTCAGTTGCAACGTCAGCTTCAGTTTGAGGCTGCCTTGGGGTTTCGGGCAGCTACACCACTTGGCCTTTGCTTCGTTGGTCAAGGACTCCTGTGCATCGATCTTAGTCCCTGCAAAGCAAGCCCTGAAAGGTGCCGAAATAATGCAAGGGCCCAAGTACTTATGAGGAGCAGGGTTTGGGGATCTTTTGTGCTGCTATATAGTGACTACGTATATATTGTAAACACATGGCAGAATAAACTATGAGTACAAAGGTCGCTGTATGTGTGAACAGTCGCCACAATAAACAAGTACATAAAGACATGCATACATACATACATGCATACATACATACATACATATATATATATATGTACATGTATATATCTATATGCATATATATATAGACATACATATATGTATGTATATATATATACACACACATAATTGTATATATATATATAGATATGTGCATATATACACGCACATTATATGTACGCATGCACACATGCGTACATACGAGGTTGCATACATGTGTGTCATACGTCTCTCACACCTACATACACACTTGCATCATGTGTACATATATATATATATATGTATGTCAAGTACATGTGCCTTCATGCCATACTGGTAACGTATACTATACATACCATACTGTGCATACTCTACACACTACACAAAGTGGACATAGTACTATTACCAACGACACCTCGAACTTCACAGAAGCTTTGCCCACTGGATCTACCGGAGAACACGGACTTAACTGACAGTCGCGTCGGTCCGCGGGAGGTGTCCGAATCTTTAAGTCAGCCGCAATAGAAACTTAGCACAAGCTGGCAGCAGCTTCTTCCACCTTGCTTTCCAAGCTGACACACAGCCAGCTCTTTTGCGTCGCCATTGACTTCGTTGAGCGACTGTCGCTGCAGAGCTCACGTAGAAGCTCTTGCGCGTAGACCTTCGTGTGCGTGCGGGAGGAACGAGCAAAGCGAAGATGGCTGATGACTCTGTAGCTCACAGCTTTCTGGGACAAATTCGGATCAAGGCTTGTCCCGAAACCCTAAAGCCTAAACCTGTGAAAAACAAACCTTAAATCGTAAACCCTAAAGCCTAAACCCCTAAATCGCAACCACTCTCTAACATGATTCTGCTTGCGACCAGACTGTGAATGGAGTTTAGGCCCCTGGATTCTGCCAATAGCTCCTACTATAGGAGTCTGAATTAAAATAATCAATAATAACAGTTTTGTTAATAATAAGAATATTGTTGATAGTAGTATTAAGAATAATATTAGTAAAAATCATAATAATAATAATAATAACAATAATAATAATAATAGTAATAATAATAGTAATAATAAGAATAATGATAAAAGAGTTGTGGGATAGATTCAACTCTAAAGATGTGGGGAACTATAAAGGGATACTACTACTTGTTATTCAGGCCCGTGCATTCGGGATGTCGGGCGTGTGTTACGGTTCGTGCAGCAACATCTTCTACCATCATTGCACATCGTCTACATAGCCCGTGTACGGCAATATTACCAGATGGATGAAGCAGCCGGCATAAAGCCACAGAGCCGGCGCAGGGAGACGAAGAGATGGTGAGGGTGATGGTTGTGATGCTGGTGGTAGTGATGTTGATGATGATGATGACGATGATGACGCTGCTGAAGATGATGCTGGTGATAATGATGATGATGATGATGGCATGGAAGCAGGGAGGAGGGAGGAGAGGAATGGAGGAAGATGCTGATCATGACAGGGAAGAGGGACAGGAGGCGAACGAGGCGGAGAAAGGTGCCGATTCCAATCGAGCGGACGAAGCTGACGATGAGAATGGTGAGTCTGCTCTACGGTTCGGGGTTTAGGGCTGTATCGGTTGTGTCTGCCATGGCAACATGATCCTGCAGCCTTTTTTGCATATTCATTCATCTGCATGGACGCTGCGAGAGGAAGAAGCTACCGGTGGCTGATCGAAGTCAGACTCCACCTCTCCCATGAGCTACGCAGGAGTTAGCACTTCTGCGAAAGAGGCACACCCTGAGCCAGCAGACTACGAAGTTGGTGCTTAGGGCTTAGGGTGTAGGAAGAGTGTTGAGGGTTTGAGATTAAGCGTTCTAGACTGGTCTTGGGGACAGCACCGGGGTGCCAGCGCTTTGTACACTGAAACTATAGCAGTTCTAGCCAAAACTCTCGGTCGGGGCTCAAACATGGATGTTCTGCGTGGTCTTCCAAGCTGTCATGTCAATCCGCTTCATCATGGCCTTGAGCTGCTTCATGGGTCCGCACTCATAGAAGTCAACGATGCCATCCTGAATCATTGCCTGCATGCAGGGCATCCACTCCACGCAGTTCGTGAGCTGGTCTGCCAGCAGCTCCACCTTCTACTTGTCGAGCTCTCAGCGAAAACGGAAAGGTTCAACGGTTAGTCTGTGAGATTTGTCTAGGGGCTGTACGTGTGTTGTTCCAAACATGCGAAGTTGTAAACTGGAAAACATCCCGGCCGAAAACCCTGAACCCTAATCTCTAAACCCTAATCCCTAATCCCTATACCCTCAACCCTCATCCCCAATCCCTTTATCGTAAACCCTATATAATCCCTAAGCCCTAATCCCTATACCCTTACCCCTAAACTTGAAAACGTAAACAAGGAGCGATCGTCGGCACCTCTACTAGGATGCCCAGTCACCTATGAAAAGGGCTCCCTTTTTTGGTGTTAGGTAACTTTATAAGGAATCTAGGACTACAAAAAGGGAATAAGGGTACTACTGGGCATCCTAGTCTACCAAACCCTAAACCCTAAACCGTCGGCTTCTGTATTGAAGCAAGGAGCGATTTTCGGCACCGGAGTCCCCGCCGGAATTTTCGATCCGGTTAGGTTCACGTAGACGTCGCACATGGGCGGCTTCATCTTTGGCTCAACCTGAAAGTATCCACTGTCAATGTTGTTACTACTATCACAATTTTCTGTTATTACCATTGTTACAGTTATTGCTACTAACCCCATTATTACTATTATTACCATTATCCTTTTGAACCGGTTCAGATTTAGGGATTAGGGTTTCGGGTATAGGGATTTGGGTTTAGGGTATAGGGATTAAGGTTTAGGGATCAGGGTTTAGGGTTTAGGATTAGGGCTTGTGGCGGTTACGGGCTCTGCCTGTGATATAGGGCTCTGTAGTGATTGGAATAGGTTTGGGTGGCGTTATAGTTTTAGTTTACCGACGAGCCCTAAGGAATACCATTAATGAATGTTCCGGCTTCTGTAGAACTTGTTCTAGGGCTTTGTTCTACCCGGGGATTTAGGGATTTAGGGTTGTAGCCTAGGGGGTGAGGTGAGGGCGAAGCAGTCTGTGCTTCTTCAGGGGTTCGGGGATTCGCAGCTAGGCTGGGTCTTTGTAAAGTGTTTAGTTTAAGTTGTCGTAATGAAGAAAGTTTTCTATAGATGCCTAGTATGGTGACTTAAAATAAATTCCTTAACAAGAAGCGAGTAAGTGCCTCATCAAAACCCGTAGCCTGCATCCTCTGACCCCGCAGCTGCCCTTAACTAAGAAGACCGGAATACTATAAAACGTTCTTCCTTATGGTTCCTTATAATTAAGTCTGTACGGTATACTGTACCCCCCCCCCCTAACCCTCTTCTAGTTGTTGAGGCCTTCACTTATCCTGATTTGAGAGTTTCCGAAAATTAGGGTAACCTTATTTGGGGGTCCTTATAACAAGGATCCTACTATTTAGAGTCCTATATTAGGGTCCCCTATTTGCGGACCCTAAACCCTAACCCGGCCTCTTTCAAGGCTGCTAAGAGCTTCTCCCGAGCTGGCATCATGCACTTGGTGTGAAAGGCGCCAGAGGTCTTTAGCTCTTTCGCCTGTGCCCAGAGAACCGAATACCCCTTAATTGAGGAATATACCTTAAATTATAGGGGCCTTAATATTCTGATTTAAGGTATATTCCTTAACTAAGAGGTCTTTAGATCTTTTGCCTGGCTGGAGCTTTGGGGATTGGGGGTGTAGGGGTTTATGGTCTTTTCGATGGTTTTTGAGTTTTGGGGGTTTAAGGTTTTTGAGGGGCTTTGCGTTTATGGGTTTAAGGCTTTTGAGGGGTTTTGGGTTTCGGGGGGTTTTAGGAGGTAAGGGGCTGAGGTGGTAATAATGATAATCGCAACCATGCTCAGCCGTACTGTTGATGAAATAAATCCTGCATGACCTTAATGATCCTAAGCTATGGGAGTTGTGGTATATTCCTTAATATGGGTAGTGCAGGAGTTATATGATCAACCGTAGTAATTGATACTGTAAGTCTTGGGACGATCATCCTGTTTCCTTGTCCATGCGAAACCTACTGCTTCCAGAGACCTATGAGACTGAAACCCTGAGCGCTAGCCAGATCGTTGTGTAACCCCAGTTCCGCTTCGGAGCCTGCAGACAGCCATCTGTCTTGTTGGCTTTCTCCAACAGCTTCTCCATGGCAGCCTTGCTTCCGGCACAGGAGAAGCCGTTGGGAAAGAGGATGTTGGCAATCTGGCACACCTCATCGCCTGATCTGCACTCGGCGCACAGGCCCTCCACCACCTCCTTTTTGAGTCCGGCCAACGAAATCATCTTCTGCGGGTAGGCCTCCGCGGCCTCTTGCATCGCCTCTCCCCGCAGCTTCACCAGCCGAAGGCCTGTCGGCACGTTTTTGGAAGGCACTGTCTTTGTCCAAAAGCTCACTGTTTTGGGGCTTTCAGCTCATGTTCTACAGGGCTATGGCTATGGCTTTCCTACTGTTTGGGTCGGCGTTTCATAACAGGGGCCTGTCTCCAAGTCGAAGACCCCGGCTACAGTGAGCGCCGTGTACTCTCCAAGGGACAAGCCGGCGACTGCGCGTGGCTTCTCAGCAGCTTCCGGATTCTCTTTCCGAAGCAACTCGAGGCCGGCGAGGCCCCCAACATACATAGCCTCAAACGCTGGGCTTAAGGCTTGGCCAAAACTAGGTCTGGGGATGAGGGTTCGTATCCCATGTTATCAATGTCGCAGTGTCGTGGTGCTATCTAGAACTATCTATCATCCATCTGTCGATCGCTTCCTACCCATTCATCTATCTAATTTATTGCCTCGCCCCAAAGAGCGACAACTACATATCTGCTATTGCCTGCACGCGTAAGCACATCCCGAAAAATAGTCCAACCTTCCGTCTCACCAACTTGAATGTCTCCAACTTATTCTACCTGTATCAACCCTGTGCTTTGTACAAGACTATAAGGGCATACTACTAGTACTAATTATTCCTGAACCCCGTGTTTTATACTAGACTATGAGGGGGTACTACTAGTACCAGTTATTCCGACCCCTAGGTTATGTAGTCCAGCTGCTGGTTGGCAGAACTTCGTTTGCTCCAGCTGGTCCTCTGGACCCTCCAGGCATAGCTTCAGAAGATCGTAGCCGAGGATCTTCTGGGCCGTTGAAAGCATGTCCTTGACGGCCGGCATGTCCTGGGTTCTACAGGGTCATGCAGCTTTGATTGGTCTTTAGTTTGAAGCAAATCTATAAGCGCGGGCATGGTATGAGAGTCGAAACCCAAAGGGTCCAAAGTACCGATATAGTAGAATGTAGGGTTCTTATATTAGGAACTACTATTATGATTTGGGGAAGTATTCCCCATAACAGTACATAGGACCCTTTGGGAAAAGACAAAGCTTACCAACTCGCGGCTTCAGCATCCTTCACATCCGACATCATCTTCACATACTGCGACCCCTGCCCTGGAAAGAGGAGGGCTGCCGTTGAGGATCCCGAAGAGGGCGCCGAAGGCTCCGAGGGCGGGGAAGGGGAAGCCTTGGCTTCTTGTTAAGGGGTTTAAGTTCCTGTAAGGGATCTACAAGGGTTCCCGTAAGGGTTCTATAAGGGTTTAGGGCCGCTAAGAAATTCCATCTAAACTACCATAATAAGGAAACCATAGTATTTACTATAGATCCCTATCATGACAACTTAAAATTGAATCCCTTGACCGCTAAGCACTTCTAGAACCCTTACAGGAATCCTAGAAGCGTGGTTCGCAGTCGCAGGCGTCTCCGCGATGGCCATCTTCGTCTGGTTTTCAATCGCTGCCGCCTTGAGGTCAAAGAAGGTCTGGATGGCCTTCTTGGCCTTGGCTGCTGGCTTTTTTAGGTCTATAAACAGGGTTTAGGGTTTAGGATCAAAAAGTTTAGGGTTTCAGATTTATGGTGGAGGGTTTAGGGCATTTTCAGGCGTAAGTTGGTTCTGACTATGACTCTTGGAAGCTCTTCGCTGAGAAGCCCAGAACTCGAGCCGAGTCCTGGGCTTCTGTTGCGGCTCTACAATCCCAAAGGGTCCTATGTACTGTTATGGGGAATACTTCCCCAAATCATAATAGCAGTTCCTAATATAAGAACCCTACATTCTACTATATCGGTACTTTGGACCCTTTGGGAATGTTACAGGCTTCTATGGCAACCCTTCCTGATTCCATTCCCTTCAAGTTCAAGGGCTGCATGAAACCTATCCGTTGGGATCAACGGGACACGATAGGTTTTCATGCGGTGCTCGAGGGGGTTCACATTAAGCGGGTGCCTTTGGAAGCTCACAATAATGATTAGAATAAGGACCGCCAAGAAATACAGATACCGCACACAGGGATTTCAACCTCTCCACAACTGGTACTTCAACCACCCTAAAGCTTCCAAAACCCAAAACCTCAAACACTATAGGACACTAAACCCCTAAAATCTTAAAGTAGATGCCGGGAAGATTACCAATATTCATTACTCCTTTGGGTTCCCTTATGAAAGTTATAATATAATACGTCCAAAACCCTCTTCAAATTATTGACGCCCCCTGTATTATTCCGCCCGAGGCTGAACGACAAAGTGACAGCAATCGCCACTTCGGGGTCGTTATCGCTCATTAGCATCTCGACCTCCTCATCAAAGCAGGCACCTCGCAAGAAGGACTTAAGGTTTGGGGTTTAAGGTTTGCGGCTTGGGTTTTGGAAGTTTCGGGTGTAGGCTTCAACTAGCGTTTAAGGGTCTCGGGATTGCCTTCATAATCACATTAGAAGGCTCGAGGGGCGTTGGAACTCCTGAAACGCACCACCAAAATAAATGCGGGTCCACCAGTAGGGTTCCCAACGAAATATACAGCAACCACATGTGGGTGGTTGTCAAAATTAGGGTCCCTTTTTGGGTACCCTAAATATTAAGTGCCGTATAGTAAGGACCCACAAAGGGACCCTAACATTGACAACTGCCAATATGTTTCCACAGAACCCCACCTCGCTCTCCCATCTGCTCCAGTGCCTTCACTGCTGCCAGCTTGGTCCTGGCGTCGTTGTTTGTCGTCAATCTGCAGACCTCCGAGGCATACATCCTGGGTTCTTGTTAAGGAATGAATTTCAGTTAGCATAATATCGAAAACATTTTCTTTGTTAAACAATAAGGAAACCATATGATTTGTTATAAACCCTTCAAGGAACCCTTAAAGATCCCTTAAAAGAACTGAGCAAGAGCCCAGCATCTGCCCAAGCTCACCACAACCGGCCACTGCCCGGACGGCTGCCACTCGCACCTTCCAAGACTTGTCGTTGAAGAGCTTGCAAATCGGCTCCAAGAATGCTTCTGCCTCGAGGGCCACATGACCCTGAACTAGAAGAAGCCCTCTACCCTTATAAAGTAAAAGCCAGAAAGTTGGAATATGATTATCCTAACCCTTCTATGGTATATTATAGTGTATCCTACCATGAAACCATATTCCAACTTTCTGGCTTCTACTGTATATATATATATATATATATATATATATATATATCCCAAAATGGGTGTTCTAAACCCTTAGCCTGATACATGTTTTCTGAAACCTCCATCCTGAACCCTAAACTACTAAACCTTGAACCCGGGTACCTCGTCTCCCATGCATGACAAGCTTTCCGCTGCGCTTGCCTTGACCTGGGCTGTTAACGAGCTTAGTTTCAGATACCAAAACCCCAAACCCAAACCCGAAACCCCAAATCCCCAAACCCCTAGGCCCGCAAACTCCCAAAGCCTAAACCCCAAACCCTAAACCCTAAACCCCAAACCCTAAATCCTAAACCGGTTATCATCAACAGTGGTACCAAACCCTCCCTTAACAAGAGCCCGGTCACCTGTGGGCTCGGATCTGAGAGGAGTTCGGCAACTGCGGCGGCCGTAGAAGAGCTCGGGTTGCCGTTTTGGGCCATCCTAGCCCGGGGTCTAGGGTCCACTTGGAGGTTCTCGGTAGTTACAAGTGGGGTTATGCTTTAGGTTTCAAGGTTTGGGAGCTTAAAGTGTTTCGCCCCGGGGTTTGGCAGGTAGGGTGGTGAAGTCTACCCTAAGGCCCCAAAGTAGTTCCTTTTTGGGGTTCAGTCTTATGAGGTAATCCCCAAAAGGAACTACTCTGTGGCCTCTGGGTAGGGTTGGGGGTCGAGGGTCCACTTGGAGGTTCATGGGTAGTTGTAAGTGGGGTTATTATAAGTAGGGTAACTATAGTTATAACTCCTATTAGGGGACTTATAACCCCACTTGTAAGTACCCATGAACCTCCAAGTAGGGTCCAGGGTTTCTGTCTGTGGGTTTAGGGTTTACTTTTCTGATCTGAACAAGCGCAACTTAGGGGTTCAGGTTCTAGCTTGAAAGATGGGTTTAAGACTTAGGGCTTCGGGTTTAAGTTGGTCGATGTTTTTGGGTTTAGCGTTCGATATTCAACAATGAAAGACATTAACAACTACCTGGACTCTATAAAACCTTCCTTTTTCGGGTTCCCTATTATGATTGCCTTATAACAGGTAGGTTATTTGGGGTTCTATGCTAAACACTGAAAGTACCCCTAAACCCTAAACCCTAAAACTCCCTAAACGTATCATTTAGAAGCTGCCCCCACCCTGTAATAGTGACTATAAGGCAAGGGTTATAGTAGGACCCTATTATCTTCCTATTATACCACTATTACAGGGTGGGGGCAGCTTCTAACGTATCATCCCAAAACGGTGCCAAGCATCTGACCCAAGACTTTGCAAGCGGCCGCAGAGACTTCCGGCGCGGGGTCTTTGAGGAGATCCTAGGTCAAAGGGAACTCCAGAAAGTTGGAATATGGGTTTAGGGTTTAGGGTAGGATCCCCTATGATTTACCTAAAGGGGTTAGGATAATGATATTCCAACTTTCTGGCTTCTACTGTACCCAGATTCAACAAGGAGACCCCCAAGAAAGAAAACGTAAACCCCAAACCCCTATGCCCCCCAAATCCTAAACCCCTAAATCCTAAATCCCAAAACCTTATATAACCCCCAAAACCCAAAACCCCCAAAAGGGTAGTACTCAGGAACCTAGGATCCGTCAGCTGCGACTCGAAGCGGGAGCTGTCAGAGCCCACCTGCATCTGGCTGAGGGCCATCACTGCGGCAGCTCTGATCTCCCAGTCCTTCTGGCCATGTCCAAAAGGACCCAATGATTAGGTACTCGGTTTTCGGGTAGTAGTTACGTAGGTTAGGATTTTGGAGAGTATATGATTCTCAGGTACTTGGACCCTTGGGGTTAGATATACACTAAGTTACATACATCGCAGATATACATAGAAGGAGAAGAGAGAGAGAGAGCGAGAGAGAGAGAGAGAGAGAGAGAGAGACAGAGAGAGAGCGAGAGAGAGAAAGTGGTTTATCTACCTACTTATTTCTTTAGTTCTTTCTTCATACACACAGGCATGTTTTATCACACGTATCATGTTATCTCCCCTTCCAAAACCCTAAGGCTCCATGTGCCCATATAGTAGGTACTTAGGCCTGAAAGGGGTCACTAGATGGGTACTTTAAGGCCTAAGTACCTACTATATGGGTACATGGAGCCTTTTGGGAAAACCACGGGAAGCGGTCCTTAGAGCTTAGGAACTCCCTAATTATCATTTTATCTCCCCTTCTAAAAACCACCCTAAACCCTAAACCCCGGAGCGGTCCTTAGAGCTTAGGAGCTCCATCAGCTTCGCGACCGAAGACGAACTCCCCAGGACGCCAAGGGCGGCTGCGGCTGCGCAAGCAGGCCTAGGCTTAGGGTTTCTAGGAATTGTATAGGGCTTAGGGTTTATAGGGTTTATATAAGGTTTAGCATAAGTTATTGGTTTTGGGTTCTATAGACCCCGAACCTAAGTTTAGTTCCTGAACCAGAACCTAGCGGCTTTCGCAGAACTGCCGGCGTCTTGGGCATGACACCAGCCGCGGTGAGCATGTGCGTGGAGATATCCTCGGCCTCGAGAGACAGCGCTGCCTCAAGCGGCTGCACATAGTCTGCAGCGGATGGACCCATCGTCCTGCAGATGAGAGCTGTCAACGACTATATCATGTTCAGGTTCAGGGTGTAAGGGGGCAAGCAAAGCCTCAAACTGCTTCATTCGTGACTAGGGATCGTGCTCTTGAGAAAGTTCACATCATAAACGGCTCAAGGTCTCTCTGCAACTAGCTGGACAGGGTTAGACTTATAAGGCTCATCGCGAACCCCCCGGGGGTATTTTAGGATCAGCAACCACAAGCTCTGGAAATCGCAACTCTTCGCCACGGCTTTCTGCAGTGGCACTATGCCTGTTTGCTGCAAGGGGCCCTTACTAGCATTCTTGACGGCTTCTTCTGACGCACCTGTGCTTCTGGTATACCAAAAGCCACAACAGTTCCCAGTTCCAAGCAGAATCCAAATATGTACCCTGAGCGCTACTCCTCAACCTCCCACTGCGAAGCCTTATTACCCGCCAGACCCTCAATGCCGCCTAAACACTACTTGGAGGTTCATGGTTAGTTATAAGTGGGGTTATAAGTAAGGTAACTCTGATTATAACTCCTATTAGGCGACTCATAACCCCACTTATAACACCCCTCAACCCGAAACCCTGCAAAGCCAATACCCCAAAAGCCTCTGGAAGCTTTGCCAAGGCTCGTGAGGGCGTGTGCTGCGGCAGCCACGACTCCCGGGTTGCTATTCGTCAAGCTCTTGCCCAGGGTAGCGACCTGACAAACAAAACTAGGTCCCTGTTATGAAATTTAACCAAGTTACCATAATCGGGATCTCTGAAAATATATGATTTCCTGACTGCGGTAATCTAAAGTAAATTCCTTGATTCCCTAACAAGAACCCTGATGTGTCCCGAAAAGCTCTAGAATCTAGAACTCCGGGGTTCGGTCTAGGCCTATGGCTTCCAAGTACATCAACTGTTCGGCTCAACTCGAGGTTTCAATCTATCACCCCCAAGCCATAAACAGCCCACTTAGTCTGGTTTTTTGTTTAGGAACTTAATTTAAGTTACCACAATAGGGATCTACAGTAAATAATGCGGTTTCCTTATTGTGGCTATGGTAACTTAGAATTATGCCGCCCGTTAACAAGAACCCAGTAGCCTGATATTTGAGGCTGTTTAAATGAAGCTACGACTGCAGGAACCCAGGTCGCACAATCATGCCGCACGAACAGATGATGCACTCTTAGCCGCAGCCTTAATCCTAAAGACCTACGACTCAATAAACCCTAAACCCTAAATCTAAACCCGTGAGCCCTAAACCCAAAACGCATTTGGGTAGCTGTCAAAAATTATGGTCCCTGTTTGGGTACCCTAAATATTAGGTGCCCTACTATATTAGGGACCCACAGAGGGACCCTAATATTGACAACCACCCATTTACGCCCGAAACTCTGCCTGAGAGGCAGCTTTGACTCCCACGGAGTTCAAGCACTCGGAGGCGGCGATGCGCACGTACGTATCGGCATCGGTTACCATCCTGAGCCAGAACCCCAAGGGTCCAAAGGACCCGATAATTAGGTACTCGGTTTTAGGATAGTAGCTATGTAGGTTAGGATTTTGGAGAGTATATGATTATCCGGTACTTGGACCCTTGGGGGAAGGGCTTTTGGATTTAGGATTCGGGGTTCAAGGTATATTCCGGGCTGTTAAACTCTGGGCGATTCCAAGTAAGCGTGGCCCAAAAAGGAAGTCTAGGTTGCAGAGAATGCTTGAAATTGAAACTGTGATATAAACTCAATAATTGGCAACCATGGCTTCTAGCTCCCTGCAGGAGCTAGAAGAACCTGAACCCTAAACCCTAAAGCCTAAACCCTAAACTCAATCGAACGTAGACTTCGGGAGGCGAAGGTACTCGTATCTCAGTGCCACAGAGGCATCCTTTGGGCTCCCACCCTGTAACAGTGGTACTGCTGATGGACAAAATCCTGCATTACCCATGTAGGACACCCAGTAACCTGAGAATAAAAAGGCCTCTCTTTTTGGTATTGTGTAACTTTATAAGGAACCTAGGACTACAAAAAGGGAATAAGGGTACTACTACTACTGGGCATCCTAGCCATTATAGGGAATATGCCATAGTTCCCATAGTTTAGAGTCCTTAGGGTCATGCAGGATGTTGTCCATCAACAGTGGGAATATAATAGGGCCCTAATATAATCCTTATAGCCACTATTACAGGGTGGGGGCCCCTTCTAAGGCATCCTCCGCTCTCTAGCAACGACTGTCATATCCGGCCTGTATAATCAGAAAATGATGGGAGGCCAAGTGGGGGGTTTAGGATTCTTGGGGTAGGGATTCCTTAATGTGAACCCCATTTATGACAACCCTAATCCCCGCTAAACCCCCATAGGCTAAAACCCCTTTTGGCCTCCTACGAGAAAAATTAGGGTTTTGTGTCCTTCTATCTAGGCGGTAATTAAGCCTGGAAGCCCAAGATTAAGCACAATCCCACAAACCCCTACAGCTGGAAACCAAAAGCTTTGAGCAAGAGGCTGGGTCAAAACTGGTGCACTGGCTTCGGCGCCATCCATGCCGCAAAGCGCGCGCGCTGCTGCTGCTTTAACCTGGACTTCTGGCGGTACCATCGTTTCACTTCTGCCATTGATTGTGGATCTCTGTCTCTCTCCATCTCTCCGTCTGGCGGTCTACTCATGTTCCTGGCTACATGCCTGCCTGCAAATGTGCCATGAACGTCCCTCTTAAACCTCAAGGCCTGCAGCTCACACGTCCTAGTTGACGAGACCTGCTGGGCTCGAACAGCCTCGAATTAGGAACGCCGGATAACAGGTCAGGATTATAATAACGAACAACACCGAGGACGATCATACACTACTTCTTATGGTGCTGCTACCTTCCTCAGATGCAGTGATGAAAAGGACTCTCACTCTCGTGACTCTTGCTGAAAGGTTAGGGTTAAGGGGTTTAGGGTTCAGGGCTTAAGGTTTAAGGGTTCGAGTTTTCTTGCATGCTACCCTAAACTCCTAGAGGCCCTAAACACCGACAAAATTCAGAAAAAGCCAGCAAAAAAAAAAAAAAAACATGCAACTACAAAGCTATGGAGCCTTTGAACAAATAACGAGGCTATGACAGTCTTGTAAATCCGGACAGCACCCCCAGAAAATTCTTGAACGCGTCTCAACCCAAGAAAAACCCTCCAGCACCCCTCAAAAACACACACACACACATAGAAACTCAAATCTAAGCCCTATTTCCAAACCTCTATACCCCACACCCCTAAACCCCTGCACCCTAAACTCCTTAACCCTAAACCCCTAAAGCCCGAAACCCTGAACCCCTATCACTAAACTCTTCATGCTGACTAGCAGCCCTTGGCTCCTTGTGAGAGAGGAGCTTAGCGAGAGACGCTGGCTCCGCTTTCATTGCCGAGAGCTCCTGTTTAGGGTTTAGGGCTCTTAGGGTTTAGGGTTTAGGGTCCTTAGGACGTAGGGTTCTTAGGGTTTAGGGTCCTTAGGGTATAGGGTCCTTACGGTTTAGGGCTCAGGGTCCTTAGGGTTTAAGGTTTAGGTTCTATAAGTTAGGAGGCTGTAGAGGGCAGGCTCGAGCTCGTATACCTTCTACCTGGACCGCAAAAATCTGTGGAACAATGCTTGGAGGTTCATGGGTAGCAATAAGTGGGGTTATGTGTAGGGTAACCATAGTTGTAACCCCTTACTAGGGGACTTATAAACCCATTTATAACTACCCATGAACGTCCAAGTAGCCTTTCATAGGGTTTAAGGTTTAGGGCTTTTGGGCCATCATGTTACCAACATCTGGTTGGGGGGGGGGGGGGGGGGGTAGCTATTTGGGTTTGTTTTTGAGGTTCGTGAGGCGGGTTTGGTCGCATGGAGGTTTAGTTTGGGGGTCATCCTAGAGTCTCCATTGTAGTTCCTTTTGTGGTTTAACCAAGTATCTAGCTAGGATCCCTAAACCCTAAACCCTAAACCGAAGGAACTTGCTGTATCAGGTCTCGGGCTCTCATGGGGCTCATGCCCTGAACCCTGAACCCTAAAGTTATGGTATCCCTAAGGGAGGGGGGTCCAAGGGGGTACATAGCCTAGTGATCCCTAATTCTCCCTAGTACTCCCTAAGGTTCCCTTAGAGAACCCTCTTGAACCACCCTCCCTTAAGGATCCTACAATAAAGCCTGAACCCTGAACATTAAACCCTAAACCCTGAACCACAGATCCCCTAAACTAGAAGCTTCTACAAATACCTATCTTGGGGGGGATCCTGCAGTTCCAGTCGGGTTTGGCTTTTTGCCTGTCCTTACGACCATGAGGATTAAGACCTCTACGCCTCTACGATGAGGATTAAGACCTCTACGCCTCTACGATGTAAGACCTGCACTTCACGGAGCGAAGACGGCCATTATGAGGGGGGCCTTCACGTGTAACAATGGTGCTTTGTGTTTGTAGTTTGGCCCATTCCGTGCCATACTATAGGGGCATAATCACGAATATTCTCTCCACAGGCCCCTATTATGAGCGGCAATGAAAATCCGCGGTTCAGGGCTTTCCGGAATCGGGGGGAAACCCCAGACCTAAAACCCTAGGTTGAGGCTCTCAGAGCCTGGCATTCGGTAGGCTCCAGGGTTTGATGCAGGGGCCTTAATTAGGATAAGGCTTTGGGGGTATGTGATACTGTAATGAAAATAAGGAACCCCCGAATAGTATAGGTAATTAGTAGGGCCCCTGCATTAGGGGTTTAGGGGTTCGGGAATTAGCGCTCCTGGCATGCGGCCACGATGGTATCCACATCGCCACCTTGGATCTGGACTTTGTGAAGCCTTTGAGCATGCCTGTTCCCAGTCATGCTCGGACGGAGTGCTTCTCGGTGTAAGGTACGAAGTACCGAACGGAACCAGGGCGGGGGGGGGGGGGGGGAAAGTGCCCTTAGAGGGCTGGAATTTTCGGAGGCACGCTGTAATGTTCGTCCTGAGGTTGGCTACTCGCAAGCGGTCTGCATGACACGCGAGCATGCGATTGAGATCATACTGTAGGCCTAGAATTGGCATGCTTTTCTTTTGCGGGGGGTGGTATTCCAGGAGCCCTATGTTTCACTGATCTTACAACCTCTTAACTGGTGTCCATACTTATCAACCAAACGTCTACTATCGGGCTCGGATGCCAACATGTTGAGGGGTTTAGCACTAAACCCTACACCAATCTCCCAGGCAAGTTGCTTCCCAACTGTTTTACCAGTTCCATGGGCGATGCCATCAGCGCAAGAAGCAATCTGGGGGGCCTTCCCGCACCCAGAATCAAGACATATCAACCTACACGCCTGCTTCTGAGCCAAGTGTGCGATGGAGTCGCCGTGGCATGGTGCTGTTGATGCCAACATGTGGAACGATACAGGACTGTATTCGGCCAGAAGTGGTTCAACAGGGCATGAACGAACACGTAATGCAGCGCATGTACGTACAAACACACATGCACACATGCACACGTGCACACATCCACACATCCATCCATCCATCCATCCATCCATCCATCCATCCATGCATGCATGCATGCATGCATGCATACATACATACATACATACATACATACATACATACATACATACATACAATATATATATATATATATATATACACATACATGCATGCATACATACATACGTACATACGAACGAACATGCACGCATGCATACATACATACATACATACAAGCGTACACACTAACATACCTGCATGCATGCAAACACGCGCGCACGCACATACCGACATATGTACGCACATACACTCATGCATGCATGCCTTCATGATGAGCCTTCATGCATGCATGCAGCTCTCTCTCTCTCTCTCTGTCTCTGTGTCTGTGCGCGTGGTAGAACTTGCTGTGGACTCCATTGGTACTCGCCATAATCAGCTGCCAGCGATTCGCAGAGCACTACTATGCCAGCCGTCAATCTTACCTTCAAATTGCGCGGTTTTGCTGTATGAAGACGAAATGCTCATCGTCGTCTTGTTCTTTCTCAGGTCAGCATGTGGGTTAGACTTAACAGCTCATGCCTGCAGTTCTGCTAACCTAAGCATCTGCCACGAGTGAGTGTTGTGGTGAAAACACAGCGTGCTACCCGAGCCGTGCAAGCAACCAAGTTGTTTTACAAGTTCAATCACCACCTTAAGCCCTGAAGCCTAAACCTGAAACGCAATAAACCCTAAACCCTAAACCCTAAACCCCAAACCCTAAACCCGAAACCCTAAACCAGAATTCTGCATTAAGCCGGCCAGGAAGCATTCGTGATGGGATTGGCCATCCTGACCTCGGAGAAGGCACGAGGTCTAGCGTTCAGGGTGGATACCACAGGTTTAAAACCCCTAAACCCCTGAAGACCCCAAACCTTAGGGTTTAGGGTTTCCCTAAACCCTAAACCCTGCAGACCCTAAACCCTGCAGGCCCTAAACCCTGCAGGCCCTAAGTGCTAAACACCGTAAAAACTCTGAGCCGTACCCGCGTCCGAGAGCCTTCTGCCATCCATGTTTGTGTCCAAACAGAAACTCCACAATGAACAGTTCTGCAGGGGCCGGAACTTGGAATAAGGTCTTGCTGAAAAAGGGACATAGCGAGCGAGAGAGAGAGAGAGAGAGAGAGAGAGAGAGAGAGAGAGAGAGAGAGAGAGAGAGAGAGAGAGAGAGCGAGAGAGAGGGGGAGGGGGAGGGGGGGGGGGCATGTAAAACTATCCATACTATACCAAAGCATAATGACTCATAGTGAAAACCCTGAACAAAACCAGCAATTCTGATTACCTAGGCTTTCACCTCGAAACAAAACCACTGACTGTTTCTGTTGCGATTCAGAATTCCTCTTGTTACTTTAGGGGTTAAGGGCTCAGGCTTCAAGCTATAGGGGATTATAGCATCGAGACGATATCTGTCAATGCCAATCCCAAATTTTCGAACAGAATTCCCTTCGGTCACTTGTAGCACCCTGACAACACAGAACTTGGGTTTCTGCAGTCACTCGTAGCACCTTGAAAACACAGAATTAAGGGTCTTTTAGGTCACTTATTGTAGCACCTCAAAGTCAGACTTGTCACGGCGCTGCCAGGCCAACCGCATCAGGGCATACCATGCCCAGGCCAAGAACGGCTAAGGGAAAGATCGGGCTTAGAGTTTAGGGTCATAGGTGACCCTAAACCCTAAATCCCTAAACCCAAAGCCCCTAAACCCGAAACCTCAACCGGGTCATAAGTTTAGGGATGAGAAGTTACGGTTTTTGCAGTTGGGTCTGGGATTTAGGGGGCCAGCGGGCCGTGGAGCACGGGGTTCAGGGGCTTCGGGCTTCCTACAGCTGAGGGGCTCGAGGCTTCGTAAGTGTGAATGCATGGTTTAGGGTTTAGGGTTTAGGGGCTTAGGGGTTTAGGGGTTTAGGGTTTAGGGTTTAGGGGCTTAGGGGTTTAGGGGTTTAGGGGTTTAGGGGTTTAGGTTTTTTTTTTTTTAGGGGTTTAGGGTTTAGGGTTTAGGGCTTAGAAACCCTAAACCCTAAACCCTCGGAATACCGTGGAACTCTAACATGTTGGAGCTGCAGTCGTACGGTTCAAGAGCCCAAAGCCGCGATCTTTCCGAAACTACCGTTCATGCGCAGTCGCACTGTGCCCGTGAACAGGATTCGGCACCTGCATTTGGGGGGGTAGATGATATTGTATGGATGCTTGTAATTTGCATAAGGAAACCCCCCACAACCCCAAAACCCCACTCTGACTATTATGGTACCGACATTACACCCCACATCGCCTGCTTCTGTCAACGTCCGACTTGCCAAAAGAGTGTGAGGCCGGGTTTCAAGCTCAAAGTTTCGGATGTTGGGGTTCTAGACCCAAGAGTAACCTAGGAATAAAAGGGGTGCCCTTTTTGGTTTAAAGGGGCTCATAAGGGAACCTGAACCCTAAAAAAGGGAATAAGGGCCTACTCTAGGTCCTAGGGTTGGGTCCTTTCAGGCTCATCTTACTGAGGGGTCCTCATGGCAAAGATCCAGCTCACCTAAGTTAATCTAAGCGTGCCCTTTTTTTGTCTGTAGTTTCATCCCCGGAGGGCATGGAGACCCAAAGAGCCCAATACCCCTTAAGGACTATGGCTTAAATTATATAGGGCTCCATATTATGATTTAAGCTATATTCCTTAATTAAGGGGTATTGGGCTCTCTGGGGACTTAGAGCCTGGTTTTTGCTGGACCCTCCTTCTACCTTCCATTAGACCCAAAATACCTACTATTAGGGACCATATTATACCCCTCTTGGAAGGTACACGGAGGGTCCTGGCAGGATTTGGAGTTTTGAAGATTTTCCCATGCTTTATTCGTTTCATTCTAGCATCATTGCATCGGGACTTTTACACTTCTATCATACACGGACCGGGGGTGCAATCCTACAAACCTTAAACCCTCGCACTTTAGCTGCAAACCCTTGAGCAAAGGCTCATACTGAGACCCTAAACCCTAAGTAAGACACCCTAAACCCTAAACCCTTAAAAAAATCTTGTTTGAAGGAACCCTAAACCCACCGAGCCCGACAGACCTAACCGAAATCCTCGTCTCTTGACTGAAAGCCCCTGCTCTCCAGGGCAGCTGGACCCTGATTTAGGATTGAGGGTTTCGGGGTGAGGGTTTAGGCTTTGGGCTTCAGGGTTGAGGATTTAGGGCTTTTTTGAACTCCTTCTTACGCCTGCTCGTTCGTCCCAAGCTGACATAGCATTTAGGGTTTAGGGGTTTAGGGTTGAGGGTTAGAGGGTTCAGGATTTGGGCTTTAGGGTTAAGAAGGGCCTGATATGATTAACAATGAATTAAGAACAAGAGGAGCCCTATAAGGCTGCCTTAGTAGTACTTGACAGAGAAAGGAGCCCTAAAAGGAATACTACCTATAGTCTCCATTGTAGTTCTTTTTGGGGTTACCTTATGGGATCCTTCATAATATAACTGGTTAAACCAAGAAAAGGAACTACAATAGAGACTATAGGTACTGCTGATTATCCAGGCTTCAACTTCAATAGCACTGATCCTTGTTATCATGGCACTGCTGCAAGCTCACTCAGTGAGACAGACCGCGCGGAAGCAATGGAGCAAGCACTGAGGGGGTTTAGTGCTTACGGCTTTCAAAACTAAGAATTTGATTCTGATTTATACATTTAAACGGCGTAAATCTTTAGGTTTTAATGAGGTGGTTAAGAGAAAAGCTCTGTGTGTGTGTGTGTGTTATGATCAAGTCCAGCGATATCTGCTGCAAATCGCCCGTTCGTTAGGAGATCTACTCCCTCGTAACACTTTAGGTTCAAAGTCAAACAGCTTTCATTGTGTCAAAGCAAGAAAAGTATCGGCACACCCACTTTGGAATTGCTTTCGGTTCAAAAATCGAAGTCGCCTAAACCCCCACTCCCTGGAGCACAAGCCGCAAAGGCAGCACCCAGAATCGCAAAACCCTACACCTCAACCGAAACCATAGAACCCTAACCACTATCAACCCAAATAACCCCCTAACCGAACTACCCACAAAACCCCCTTGCTTTGATGCCCAATGAAGGCCCTTACCCCAATACCTAATTACAATCATATAATACCTACACCCCGCAAAGCCTAAACCCTAAACTACCCTACTAGTAGCACCCGGACCGGGGAACCCTAATACCATACCCTAAACCCTAATCCCTAGACCTACTGGATCCAAAGTCAGATCTTCGCTTTCAGCCGCTTTGGCTGCCGGGCAGCGGCCCAGGTGTTGATCACGCCTTTCGTGCCGGTGCGCTTGTTTGTTGTTGTTAGGGGCTGAGTGCCCTAGCCCCCAAAAAGGCTATGTAACCGTTTGAGTTCTGGTAGGATTATAGAAGCCCCAAAAGATTAAAGGTTACCTACTCAGCTACTAAGTGTTTCTCCAAGGATCCATGTACCCAAAGAGTAGGACTCTATATGGGTTACCTTCAAGGTTCTACAGGGGTTCTATCAGCGTTCTATAAGGGTTTAAGGGTCCATGTACCCAAATCTGATATGCTTTGGCCCCAAAGTAGCAAAATAGGGCCAAAGTAAGTACTGTTTACAGTAGAAGCCAGAAAGTTGGAATATCATTATCGTACATAACCCCTTTAAGGTAAACTATAGGGGATCCTACCATTAATCCATATTCCAACTTTCTGGAGTTCCCTGTAGGCACATGGACTCTTAGGGTCGTTCGTGTCTTGTCTCGTTTGCTTTTGTGGGGGCTTCAAGGCTGGGCCTGAGGGCCCAGT